ATTTATTATTTTTATACACATTTGAAAATATTTTCTTGAAATATATATATTTTCTTTGTAAATAATTTATCTTATTTTTATACACTTAATATATTTAATACATATATATATATATATATATATATATATATATATATATATATATATATATATATATATATATATATATATATATATATATATATATATATATATATATATATATATATATATATATATATATATATATATATATATATATATATATATATATATATATATATATATATATATATATATATATATATATATATATATATATATATATATATATATATATATATATATATATATATATATATATATATATATATATATATATATATATATATATATATATATATATATTATATATATATATATATATATATATATATATATATATATATATATATATATATATATATATATATATATATATATATATATATATATATATATATATATATATATATATATATATATATATATATATATATATATATATATATATATATATATATATATATATATATATATATATATATATATATATATATATATAAAATAATTTTTTTATATATACTTTTATTTTTGTACAAATTGATACATTATTGCATATAAATAATAAATAACACTATTTATTTAAGAAATTAGGGTTTTTGCCCTAAAAAACAAAAATATTGGAAATTGACTTTTTATTTATTTACATTTCACATAAAAAAAATACTTTTTACATACATAAAAACTTTTTTTGCATAATACACTTTATTTAATATTTATTTATTGTATTTATTTAAATATTGTACATTTAATTGTTATGCCTTATACATTCAATTTGGTTGTAATAATTTAGGATTTAATTTCTTGCAAAATAATCCTCAATTCAAATTTGTACCCCCTCCCTATATCATGTTGTAATAGTGTAGAATTTAAATTCTCGCACCTTTAAGCTTTCAATTATGCCATGATTAGACTTAGGGCTTTGTATGCAAAATCAAATCAACAAATAGCTTGACCTAATCAAAGACAAAAATGCATGAAAAAACAAACACAATGCACACTTGCACCCATAGGGTTACAATCCACTTGTTGCCTTCAAAAATGGGCCATGATATGCATGTCAAGTACTTTGGCAAAACAAAAACAAAACAAAAGATCATAGTCCCTCGATGACGCTATCTGAGTTGCCTAAAACAAAATGATCAAGTCCCTCAAGAAAGTTGCCAAAAATACTTGACACTGTTGCTATCATGGTCTATACGATGACCCGCGCCTGTCCCGTTTAACATCCTAACACAAGGTTGTTCACCAAATACAATAGAGAAACAACACTGTTAAAAGGGTTAAAAGCATAAGAAAGATCTTTGAGTAAAATAGGGTAGACAATTCTTAGTTACTTGATTAAAACTTGCAAAAACATCCTTGCTATCTTCAAAACACACTTCACAACACAAATTTCAAAACCCTACTTTCAAACATTGAAAACTTTTCAAAAGACAAAAACATCTTTGTATACGTTCAAACAAGAATCATTACAAAGGTTGCCACAACGATGGCCTCTTTTCAAAATACCTTTCAAAGTCACACACAAAGCACCATTTCAAACAATTGAAGAGCACCATTTCAAACAATTGAAAAGAAAAGCAAGTGATCTAAGCAAGTAACTAAGAGCCCATGGATAACCATGGATAGAAAGGGTGCTAATACCTTCCCTTTCTATAATATACTCCCCGAACCCAATAAAACATCTCAAAGGTCTTTCCTGTGCTTTTTGACCTTTCCTTAGGATAAAATAAAAAGTCGGGTGGCGACTCTTGTTAAACCGAAACATTTGCGAACACAAACGCAAATCCCAAGTCAGTTCTCCCACCGTATCATAGAACTGGCGACTCTGCTGGGGAGTCCCTAAAAGTGGGGTTACCTTAGGGTTTTAGATCACATATACATGCTTACCTTGATTGCTTTGATTGCTTTACTTTTTGGGTTCCTTGTTTGGGTTTGTTTTAAATCCTACACCCGGATTTGGGGACACCTTTTAGATAAGTAGCAATAAACTGTGAGGGAACTGTGCGGGGTATACCGACATGGTTGAAGCAGTAGCTATGTTAGTGTGACATATTTGTGGGTATCGGTAGCCTTTGAGTCAATCAAAGAGCATATGAGGCCGCTGGGTGATGTCATGAAGCACTAACAAACTCTTAGAACCTTACTTGACCATCTTGGCCTTTTTAGGGGTAGTGAGATGACCGACTTTGGTGTAGTCCGAAGTTGGTAGATACTCGATACTACACTCATTGAGGATTGTTTTCTTGGAATATTTTGGTCTCCAGTTAAGTGGTTAAACCAAAAAAATGAACACAGAAAATAATCCAGTGATATTGAGCTCCTTAGAACCCAGATTCTATTTTAGGAAAGGTTGAGCCAACTAACTTCAAAAGGGTACTTACCTACGAACCGCATGCAAGCCTAAACCTAAGGACTTGTCTGCTTTGTGTGAATGTGATTTCCTGTATATACACTTGCTTACTTTTGCATACGCTGTACATAACATCATACCATAGCATTTTCAATAACCATTTTCAAGGATCTCGAGGGTCTTTTATGCAGGGTCACGTTGAACCAGACATCTACCAAAGGGCAAGAGGATTTTCCTCTAAACAAACACCGTCAAAGATCAAGTGCAACAACTTGAATCGGGGGCTATAACCCACTCGACATGGTGAGCTTGATTCTCGTGGAAAGACATCCACGGATACAAAGCTCTCCAATCAAATATTTATTGATCAAAGTTCAACCTCTAACATTTTCTTGTGTTTACCCCGAGGGATTCTTGAAAACATGCATCCACATATCATGCATTGTGTCATGACAGGTTTTCCCTTTCAGGTTTCCTTATTCTCCTACTGTTTATTTCAGTAGAGATGGCTCTAGAGAGGACTGTCGAAGATCTCCAAGCTCAAAACGCTCAACTTTAAGAAATGTTCTTGAACCTATCCCAAGGTCAAGAAGAAGTGAAAGCTCTCCTCACAAGGGGCATGGTCCTAGGGAATCCAGGCGGCATCAGGAATGATCAGTTGGAAGAACTATAGATTGAGTTGGAAACAATGAAGATCGAGATGATGGGACAACTGGTGGGCCAGATGGCTCTCATACAAGACCTGGCCCAAAGACAAGAAGAGCTCAGGGTCCTCGTCAACAAACTGCTTCAAGATAACCAAGTGGGGAAAACAACTAGGGTTTAAGATCAAGTCATCATTCAACCTCCTTTGAGACAAGAAGTCAAGGGAAAAGCTCCTCAACTTGCTTCAGGGTCACAAGCCCAACAACAACCTCGCCAGCGTCAACGGGGTAATCGGCGTAAGCAAAATACGTCTGGAAGACAGTTCACTGAGACTGACATACCATCATCTCTAATACTGGAACGCTTGTTGGAGGTCAATCTGACTGCTTTAAAGGATCCTATTCGAAAGCCCAATACCTCTGCTCCTAGCTATCACCCTGACGCGTTTTGTGTATACCACTCCTATAGTCCTGGACATGACACCGATGACTGTTGGGCTTTGAAAAACAAGATCCAAGACTTGATTGACAATGGAGTGCTGAAATTCATGCCGGATGGCGAGATGAAAATCTTCCGCTGAGGGTTTTCCACCTGAAATGACAAGTTCGAACTAAGAGACGTTTGTTTCATTTGAATTTTCAAGTTGTAATTTCTTTTGTTATTCAAACAATTATCTGTTGATGTCAAACTCTGTTTCATTAATGCATTGCATATGTTTGTCTTGAATTCATCCATTCGTTTTCACTATTCTTGAATTATGCTTTCTACTTTATTTATGATATTTAACTCTTAATAAAAGTTACAAGTCTTTAGAGGGAAGATGACGAAACAATACCATAATCTCATACAATATGCTTTTGGACAGACCTTGCTGACGATGTACAGGCATTTCTTTCAAACCCTGAACACTAGAGTTATAAGGAAGATAATCCCTAGTCAACCCCTTCGAGCCAAAGAAGTAGAAGTTTTCTATTTTAAACACAAATTGAAACCTTTGATTAAACCTGGGGCAGGGTAGTCTCTCAGTTAATTTAAAAGATGCACATTGAAGTCGCAAACTCTCAGTTCGTAATACAACGGATGACATCAAAAACATTCCTTTGGAACCAAAAGACAGTGATGGTTCCTTATCTCATAGGCAGTCATTATCTCTCAAAAGAGAAAAGCCACTGAGCCAAAACCTACAAAGGAGGCTTAAGAAAGCTGGGGCATCCCGCTGACTGTAATCTCGAAAACAGGAACAGTCAGGCAAAAATCAGGGATAACAAATCAAAATAAAGAGGTCAATATAAATCCTCAACGACATGGAAAATGTTG